AAATTAGAAACTTGAGATTGCACTATTCTTTCCAGGGGTTTTGAAAGATGGAGGCTGGACGAAAATCTTCCGGGGAAGTAGAATTAGAATTTTTATTTAAAGGACGGTCGATGGCTTTTGTTAAGGCAACTTTTAAAACGATGGCAAAATAACTCGCATGAGTTTCAATAAGGTAACATTCTAGTTTTTAAGCAGTGGACTGTATCTTAAGGGATTGGCAGGTTAATGATTGTGCGAAAAAATAGCTTACTGTCTAGTGCCAGCCTACATCTTTTTGCCTTGGAGGGCCCTCAGCCGTCGGTCCTTGCTGGTTCAATGCTGGTCAGGTGGTGCCTTCGAGTCTCTCTGAAAGCTTAAGTATTATCTTTTAGATCTGCCCCAACATTCCCCGTAACGCGGGAAATTTAACTGAAAACCATTCTTTTGCCAACCATAACCCCCCCCCCCCCACCGTGAAATATCTCATTTCACTAACAAAAAAAAGGAAAAACCAAAATCAGTGATTGGTGATTACCGGGCAATGCACAAACGAGAGGAAAATTGCTTGGTTTACAATAAACAGATAAATTAGGCTAATAATTTACAATTAACGTAAAATAAAATGATTCCTCATTAAATTTAAACAAAAAAAAACAACATACATATCAATAAAAGGTTTCTCCAGAAGGGAGAGGCACTAACGTGTGCACCGGTTGTGCACCGGCCGCACTAAAGAGGCTGTAGCAGTCCTCAATTTTACAACCTTAACTACATCGTCGGGCTCTGGAAGTGTCTCTATTATCCTAGCAAGCCGCCACTCCTGCAGTGGAACATCTTTTTCTTGCAGAATTACAAGGGTTCCCTCCTATAAATTTTCCCTATTCGTATACCACTTGTACGAGGCATCAGATTATGAGGGTATTCACTATACCATCTCTTCCAAAAATTACGAATAGTCTTGGATATTATCTCCCAAAGACTTGTCAAAGGAAACACAGGTGCGTCTTCTTGTTCTGGTCTGGCTATGAGGGGTTGACCTATAAGAAAATGTCCTTGTGTAAGGTAATCCAGATTATCCGATGGCTGACTGCTAATGTTGCAGATAGGACGGGAATTGAGAACGACTTCAACTCGTACAAGAAGAGTATAAAATTCCTCATAGGTTAACGCATGATCCTGGAGAACGGCAAGAGGGTGTTTCTTCGCAGATTTAATAGCTACCTCCCAAATACCACCGAAATGAGGAGATGCTGGAGGAGTAAATGTCCACTTTATACCCGTCTTACCCAAATAGTCAGAAATGGGTTCGCTCTTGCCCTTAACAAATTGATAAAGCTCCTTCAACTTCTTGGATGTTCTAACGAAATTTGTTCCGCAATCACTATAAATATAATCTAATGTGGCAATAAATGAAGGAGTGGATACGTCCGTCACAAGTTCTAGATGTATGGCCTTGGTAGACATGCACACAAAGAGAGCTAACCAACATTTCGACTTAGGAGCATTGCGCTTACTGGAAATCTTCATAATGAAGGTGCCGCCATAGTCTATTCCAACTTGCTGAAAGGAACGATCTTCGGTCACCCTGAAGGACGGTAAGTCACTCATTTTTGGAGCCTGTGGTTTCGCATTATTTTTTTGGCAAGTAACACATTTATACATACGGATTCTAACGAGTCTTCTTAGAGAAGGGATCCAAAATTGGCGATGAATGAGAGACTGGACCAACAGGGGGCCAAAATGCAAGGAATACCTGTGGTAATGATCATACAAAAGGACTGCTATATGTGAGTCTTCAGGTATCAGCAGCGGGTGCTTAGTTTTCTCTTCGACTGTGGAATACTTCAATCTACCTCCCACCTTGAGAGCTCCGTCCATATCCAAAAATCGCGTGAGCCTGTTTAAGGAACCCTTATGTGGTTTGCCACCTTCAAGACAATCAATTAATTCAGAGAAGGATTTCCCCTGAATGAGTCTGACATAAATCATCAAGGAATCCTTAAGATGGTCCGCAGTCAAGGTTCTAACAGCAAAATCATCTTGCTCTCTGTCTCGGCAACATTTAATAAATTTTAAAATGAAAGCAAAAACTCTTTGCAACTTTAAAAAGCTCGAATATTTCTCCAGGCAAATCAACAAATCGTTAGGTTTTTCAGCCGCTAAAAGAGATATTGTTTTTACCTCAGGCAGAACGGATATAGGTTCAATGTGGTAAATAGGCCAGTCAGAAGAGGTAGCGAAATAAATGCTGGGCCGTTCCAATAAAGCTCATGTGAAAGTATTTGGTGTGTTGTGAGGCCTCTAGATAAACAATCTGCTGGATTCTGTTTCGTAGGAATATAATGCTAAGAATTAGGTTTTGCAACTTCCAAAATCTGCACTACGCGATTGGCAACATAAATTTTAAGTTCATGTGGTGGTGTCTGTAACCAATAGAGTACGTTACGATAATCCGAAAAACAATAAACTTCTTCAATTTTTAATTGACTTTTAAGTTTACCAATACACGTCAGTAGACTGGAGGTAAGAAGAGCAGCATTTAATTCCAAACGAGGCACTGATTGAACCTTAAGTGGGACCATCTTACTTTTTTTCCTTAACAAATAAATTTTGGTAGCTTCTCCAGGGTACCCAACATGCATACTTGATCTCCACGGTAGATTCGTTATTTCGCTTCCGTTCAGTTCTGACCAGCCGATTGATCTTGATTCCACCAGAGAGATAGCTCTACGCAGATTAAGAAATCTGGAAAATAGATTTAGGATGGATCCAGAATATAAGTCTGCCTATGCTGGCCAGATGGATGAATATATAAGATTGGATCATGTTCGGCTCGCCAAGAACTCTTCTCCATACGTCATGACCCATCGTGGAGTCATTAAGGATTCTTCCACGACAAAACTTAGAGTCGTATTTAATGGTTCGGAGAAGATGGTAGAGAAAAATCACTGACTGACTTATTTTTGACCGGTCTTCAGCTCCAGACTGATATTTCGGAACTTATAGAACATTTTAGATGCTTTCCTGTGGCCTTAACTTGCGATATAAAAATGATATTTAGGTGTATCCGCATTGCCGAAACTAATCAGAACCTATTACGTTTTTTTTTGGAGAAGTGAGTCTTCCCAGCCGATCCAGGAATATGAGTTGGTTACCCTTCCATTTGGGTTAAAATGTTCTCCCTTTATTGCTCACAGAGTCATTCAACAGTTATTTCGGGAAGAAGGCCATAATTTTCCTAAAGCTGCCCAGCGTCATGACCAAATTTATGTATATAACGTAATCACTGGTGCTCGCAATAGTGATGAGGCTCTGGATCTGTACAATGAATTAATGGCCTTATTTGGAGCAGGTGGGTTTGAGCTCAGAAAGCTCTCCAGTAATTCCGAAAAAGTACTTTCTGTTATACTCGAGGGTAGTCAAGAAATGCCGTTGTGTCTGGACGGAGATTCCTCTACTGTTAAAGTTTTAAGTTTATTCTGGGATCCTAAACTCGATCATTTCAGGTATTCAATAAGGAAATGTGAGCCTGTTTTTAAAAAGCGAGGTATTCTATCCTTCACTGCTAAGATTTTCGATATAAATAGATATATCAGTCCCGTAATTTTTTCTGTTAAATGCCTATTACAACGTTTGTGGCTTCGTAAGGTTGATTGGGATGATGAGTTGCCTTCTAGTGTGTCTTCATTGTGGAAGATTTTCCTTCACGAATTTCCGAGCTTGAAAAGTGTTTGCCTGCCTCGTTGTATTGTCAGCCAGAATGCACCATCTATGCAAATAATCTCCTTTTCAGAGGCTTCCGAGAGGGGTTACGGGTGTGTGATTATATAATGGGAAAATAATGGATTTTTTAAATGTTATAGAGACATAGCCCATTTCAAAAATTCTTTCAAATGTAGCCAATAAAATGTTTAAAAAGGAATCGGGAGCATACTTGTAAAATTCATAAGTGATCCTATCACTTCCTGGTGCCTTGTTATTTTTGGAGTTACCTAAAACCACTTTCAACTCACCAAGAAAGAAAAGTCTATCCAAAATAGCATTAGTAATAGCAGGTTCAACGTATGAAATTCTGTTTGAAATTAACGGAGGGTTGTATAGAGTTTTAAAGTGCATAAGCCAATCTCGTAATGATATACTTACATGCTTATTTATACTTTATATTACTTACAGACCAATAATTACTTTTTCTAAATACTTTTACAAGTTCCCAAAACTCTTTACTGTTATTAGCCTTATTCAGACGCTGGACACAATCTATATAATATTGCTTCTTTTTCAATAAACATATAAGTACTATTTGAATTTAAATACTGTAATTTATTGTGAGGGGACGAGGTTTTTCTAAATAACTTTAAACTTATAAATGACGTCTTTCTAGGCTAGAACCCATGGATTTTTACTTTTATATACTGACCTTGGATAAGGATTATAATTAGCAGACCTCTTGATGATATTTGAGAGAATGTCTATCAAATCTTCCACCGAATGCTCATTTACAGATAAACGGTTAATTAAACCATCCACCCTAGCCTGATAAACTAACTCATTTTGTTACAACCAATTAAATTTTGGGAGAGGTGGTAAAGTAGACTGTTCAATTACCTTATTAATAATTTTGAAAGAAGTAATAATCAACAGTGAAATTTCTTACTACTGATAGCAACTTGATATTTACAATAACATAGTCTATAAAAAACTTTCCCGAGGCTCCCAAATATGCATATTCTCCTTTTATATCATTTTTCATACGGCCATTTAATATAGCCAAATTAAAATCGTTACAGAGCTCTAATACTTTACTATTTATATTTAAACAATAGTCCCTTAAATTCATACATAAACATTCAATATTCGCATTAAAATCTAAATATTTTTTAGACAGTACTTGTTGATTTGACACTCTACAATTAAAATCACCGATCAAACAAACATTTATATTATGTACCTCAGAGAGGAATTCATATAAGCTATTATAATTCCTTCACCAGCTACTACAGTTTAAATAAACAGGCATAATATAATCTTCATAGTTACCTACAAACTTAACATGGCTAAATGTTTATTAGAGATTTCACAAAATTTTATATAGTTTTTAAAAGAACTTTTTAAATTCACACCATATAAACTACTGCCTGAGGCTCTACCATATGCAGCATTTCTTATAGCCGGCACCCAGAGAGAAAAACTTTATTTTCATAAAATATAAAATATAAAAGATTCCAGCTCAATTATATTGGGTTGCTATATACACAGCATACTCTTTTATCCTTAGGACAATATATGAACTTATATATAAATATACAGAAGTATTAGTTAATATTAGTAAAATAGATATATATATATATTATATTATTATTTATTTATCATTTTTTTTTTCCTTTTTCCTTCCTTTCATTGTTCATGCTTTTTTTTTTTTTTTTTAACATTTAGTTTCCCTTTCTCTCACTTCTCTCTCTTTATCTCTATTGTTTTCAATTATTCATTAAATAAATAAATAAATACATAAATTAAAACTCTCGGGCTAGCCATGCACGTGGTGGTGAATGATTCCCAGGGAGTCGAGGACTATATTTTCAGCCAACCTCGCTACGTCCTTAATGTCGACACCTAGTTCCTCGAGGAAGCTCCTTGTTCTTTTTGGGATAGTTCCGCGAGACCCAAACCAGAGGCCTCTCACGGTGAATTCTCTCTCTCCGAAGGTCTCACCGAATTTATCTTTTAGGAAAGGGATACATTTATCGTACGTGTTCTTCTTTTCCCTTTCCACTTCACCCGCCTGATCGAGGTTATTGCTCTCAAAGCGGACAGTTGGATCCAAGATCAGCGCTGTCCTTCCTGTCTTGGGAAATGCGACGATATCCGCGTATCTCGTAGATCCTTCACTATCGATGCAATATACCTCGTCAAAGCAGGTGAATTCCTTTCCCTAAGGAGCCTCATCAACTCGAACTTGACCCGTTGGTGACGACGTGTTATGAGGAGGGAGTTGTTGGGGCATTTTCCCAGGACATGGCTGGTGTTTCAGACTCTCTGATTTACGGCAGAGGGACCCAACTTGTCTGACCTGTCCGCTGACACCTGGGACTCCACGCAAGGGTGCATAATTAATGTTTAATTTTAGGGCATTGGACCATTCAGACCCAGAAAGTACTTGCTTTTCGTAGATGTGTATATTCGCTTTCGGGGTCTCTTTAAAATGGCGAACACCAATACCCTGCCACCTGCAGTTGGCCCATTCCTCAAATGCATTTTCTCGTAGCGACTGCCGTAGAGCTTTCACATTTCGATGACTCTGATCACCCCCCAATCTCTCGGCACATTCAGCAACTTCTGCCAAATAATCGAAGGTAGACTGAAAAAGGGCATCTGATACATTTGACAGCCGCTGAGCAATGGACCAATATTGAAGAGGAGCCTCCCATTGGCAGCGGATTAATCCCAATCCTCGGTATCTCCTGGGGCATACATCGCTGTGGAAGTATTCGCAGGGAGTCCAATAATGGCCTTTACGCTCCTGCGAATAATTGTGTTGATGCCCTCTAGTATAGCAGGACGCAGCTTTGTTAGGGGCGCAGTTTGGAGAGGGTACGACCCGGGAACAGATATTGATTGACAATGTTGAGTTTCTGCTCAGGTTTAAGTAAGCAAGATGTTACCAACTTTTGATACATTAAGACCAAAGACTTGATACATTAAGTAATAATACGTAAGTTTAAGGAACATTATAAAAATCATTAAATAAATGTTCATACCTTGACTGGTCCTCATTCTTAACAAAAGTCTCGAATAAACATATTATATCAAATTTCTTAATATATTGAAAAAAATTAATCATCCTTTTTACTTTTTAAGCCACAAATATTATAAGCTAAAATTTCCACAGATTGTTCTTCTTTCTGCAATTGTGACGAATTTTCAAAATGATTCCTTGAACTGAACGAAACGTTTTCCTTAGATAAATCCTGAGATATAAGACCAGCTGATTTTATCTTGAGTGGATTATAATCAGTGCGAAGATGTTCTGGGGCGAAAATGAAATGACTAGTTTATCTTTGGCTTTTCTTTTACCAGCATTTTCATCATCCGGCGGTAAATTTTCATCAGTACATTTTTGAAAATCAGGTGGACTTAAAATGGAATGCAATTCATCAAGGGAATAAATTCCAAGTCCCTCTAAATTTGATCTTATTTTTAATAACAACAGATTTTTCATCTATTTTTTTAACCTTTTTTAATACTTCATATAAATCTTTTCTTCTCTTTCTGTCTAAGAATGTTCGATCATGAGCTATAGAACAATATATTTCACTGAGCCTATCCCTCTTTTCAAACAAATTCATTTTGTCCCTATGGCTAACAAATGAAATTAAAATTGGCCTAGGAGCCTGACCTCTCCCTATTCTTCGGCAATATGAAATATCCTTGACAGATAAGTTTCTCTCAGTTTTATTGAATAAAGTTTTTACACTATCATGGATATCTTCAGGCTCTTCTCTTTGAGGCTCAGGAACATTATATATAATTGTATTATTTTTAATTAGTTCTCGTCTGAGATTATTTATTTCTTCCTCCTGGATCTCTACTTTCTTTTCTAATAAGGCCTGTTTAACTTTACCAGCTTGAAGTTTCTCAATTATTTGGGATATTGAGAGTTTTATTTGACCGAGATCGTTTCCAATGGGTTCAGTGTTTTTTTATTTTATTTTTATTTCAGTAATAATGTCCTCTAGAGTTATAGAAGGGGCCATTTTATTATAAATTATATTGTTAATGTTTTATGTTAATGGAAGTTGCTCATCAGCTGATGAGATAGGTGGAAGGAATGTCACACTGGCTATGATATCTGATCTCTTATAGGTTACAGCACGTACGCCCCAACTATTACATATCTACCTGCTGCTTGTATCAATAGTCTGAACAAGGAATGTAGATGAAAGTATTTTTACCTTATTTTTCCGCAGTCACTTCAAAAATGATCACCGAATTGAAATATAGTGTTCCTTAATAGGTATGGTATCCACTAGTCACAACGTTTTTCAAATTATTTAACTTTAAACTTATAAAATAGAAAACTATCACGGACCCGAAGTACACTGCTTCACGGCCAGAGCCAGACTCTCTTTAACAAGTCATAACGACCATTAACATCTGCATCCAAAAACAAATTTTTTTATTTTATTATTAAAACACTTTATTCAGAAATATTACAATTTGTCACAGTTTAAGGACACTTATAATAGAGTTCAGAGATTGCATTCATACCGTATATACAAAAATATAAATAAATAAAGTAATAACAAAAGAATAAGAAGAAAGAACAAAAGAGTAAAGAAAAAAAATAATATATATACACATAAGTAAATAAAAATAGAAATAAAAGTAAAACAAACACCTTATATAAAACATACATTATTTACAATTTGCCAGGTGATCTCCGAACCAATCCTGTCCCCTCCACATGTGGAGGGAAAAGGGAGGCCTAGGAGATCCCTACGCTTCTCCCTCAGCCACTTCACTGGTATTTTAAACCAGCGGAGGATGAGTAAGAGCGCTACAGCCACAGACACTCATGACTTGAGTGGAGAATCTGGCCATTGCTAGAACTCCAAAATATCCATATTTACAAAAGGTCTCGTGGCCACTGCCGCTTTAACCTACGAAGGGGATTGTAGGGATGGGTGGTGCTTGATAGGGATTGTACAACGGGATTTGGGTGATGAGAAAGGTTCTGGTGAAATTTGGAAAATTTGGCTGGGATAAGATCAAGAATAAATGGGATATTAAGGTCATGATGTAGGGTTTTATTGGTTACATAGAAGGGAGCATTGACTATTGTACGGAGGACTTTAGACTGAAAGGATTGAATGCGTTTGATGTTAGAAAATTTGGCTGTTCCCCATAGTTCTAGTCCGTAAGTCCAGATGGGTTTCAGTATTGTCTTGTAGATCAGTAATTTGTTTTCACCAGAAAGTTTAGATTTTCTATTCAGTAGTCTATATAGCTGGCCATATCGTCTGTTAAGTTCCTGTCTTTTAAGTCGAGTATGTGGATTCCATGTTAGTCGTCTGTCTAAGAGAAAGCCAAGATACCGGACTGTATCTGAGAAAGGAAGCTGGATGGAGTTAAAATAAACTGGTGGGCAGGTATTACGCCGAAGGGTGAAGGTAATGTGTTTACATTTAGATTCGTTTACCTTAATGCGCCATTTCTTACACCAGTGTTCAATCAGGAAGAGGTGCCTTTGTAAGTTTGCGGACGCTGTTTCAGGATCTGAGTTGGAAGAAAGGATAGCAGTGTCATCAGCGAAAGTTGCCAGGAGGGTATCGGGATGGACAGGAATATCAGCGGTAAAGAGAATGTAAAGGATGGGGCCCAAGACGCTGCCTTGAGGAACGCCAGCCTCAATTGAGTAACAGTCGGAGAATTCGGTGCCACAGCGAACTCGGAAGGAGCGGTCGGAAAGATAGGATCGGAGTACTAGGTATAAGGACTGTGGTAGGTGGATTTTAAGCTTGAAGAGTAATCCGGCGTGCCATACCCGGTCAAAAGCTTGCGCTATGTCCAGAAATGCACCCGAGCAATACTGCTTGCTTTCTAGGGTTGAGGATATATGGTCAACAACTCGGAGTCCTTGTTGGACAGTGGAATGTTGGGAACGAAATCCGAATTGATGAGTAGGAAGGTTATAGGATTCAATTATAGGTAGGATTCGTTTCAGTAGGATCTTTTCAAAAATTTTTGAGAGGATTGGGAGTAGGCTAATTGGTCTATAGGATGCTGTATTGTTGGAAGGTTTGCCTGGTTTCAAGAAGAGGACGATGGTGGAATGTTTCCATAAAAGAGGGAAGTGGGTAGTTCGTAGGATGCAATTGTATATATATGTAAGAAATATGATGGCTTTAGATGGAAGTTGTCGAAGGATCTGTGGGGTTAGAAGGTCATATCCAGGAGATTTGCGAGGAGTGATTTTCCGTAAAAGGTATTTGACCTCAGAGGGATTAACAGCTTTAGGTGGTAAGGAGAGTGGGATAGGTATTGAGAGGGATTCTTCTACTTTTACTGTGTGGCTGGGATGGGATTCTGGATGAGGAGCGAAAGTATAGGAAAGGTGTTTGGCAAATTCCTCGGCTTTATCTTCATCAGATGCTGCCCAGGAGCCATCATCTCGTCGAAGAGGGTGGGAAATATGATGGGATTTGAGGATTTTTCTGGTGATATTCCAAAGGGAATTATCATGAGCAGAGAGTGTGGTGAGGTAGGAATTGAATGATTGGGATCT